GTCCGGCTGTGCTCCTGTTGACCTTTAGCCTGGGGGATACCCCTCCTTCCATGTCATTGCCAGTCTGCCTTCAGGGATGTTTGGTGAGGTCCTGACTACCAGATGATGTACCAGCCTGTTCCAGCTATGTGCCCGCTGTACTGACTGGCACCTGACCCAGTGCCCCAATCCAGTTGAGCTTATGCAGCTGGTGATTCGTTGACCTCTGCTGAAGTTCAAGGCTGGCACTGATGCCCAGGTCTGCCAAGGCAAGAGACTCAGTTTGGGGCTGTGTGGTCTGGGATGGTGCATTCAGCAGGTAAGAATGCTGTGTTTGGGTCAAGTCCTGGGTTCTGGGTCTAGCCTGTCATTGGCATGCATTGAACTTGGTCAAGCCACAAACCGTCTCTGTCTACAAGACAGGAAGGCCGGGCCACATAACTTCTATGGTATCACCAACTCCAACCTTCTGGCCAGCGGTTCTCAAACTTTGGCATGCATCAGAATCACCAGGAGGGCTGGTTTAAATCAGGTGGCCTGGCCGCACTCCCAAAGCTTCAGGTTCACGGGCCAGGGGTGAGACCTGAGATTCTGCATTTCCAACAAGTCCCGGATGATGCTAACACTGCTGGTCCAGGGACCACACTTTGAGAACCACTGCTCTAGCAACCGCGGCTGCACATTAGAATGACTTAAGGGAGCTTTAAACTGTGTGGTAATGAAACCCAACCCCAGAGCAATTAAATCAGCATCTCCAAATGGGGAGCCTGGGTTCTGATATCTTTTAAAAGCTCCCCTAGGTGATTCTAATGTGTCGCCAGCATTAGAAACTACTGTTCCGGAAAAGCAGCAGGGGGTGTAACAGGACATTAGGCAAATGCCTTTTTTCCTGTTGGAATAATTTCTCTTGGACCCCAGCTCAGCCTCTCATTAGCTTCCTGGCTTTGAATAGTCTCCCTGAACCCCAGCTTCCCCTTTTGTAAGTGTGGCTGTTAGGAGGACCAGATGAAACTCTCCTCATTGTGTCTGTCTGTCCCTTCCCCGTCTCCAAGGAGAGTTTGTGTATTTCTTCTGCTCTGAGACTGTTTGGCTGAACACAATTCAATAAGCATTTATTAAAAACCTACATGTGAGATGCTACCCTTAATGATGTGGGAATACAAGGATGAATCAGGCTCGGTCCCCACTCGGAGGAGCTCACATGCTAACGGTGGTGACAAAGCATGTGTCCAAAACATGAGGCAGCGCGTAACACGGGCTATGGTAAAAGTACTCGTGGCGAAGGCCACTGTGTGTGAAGCATTTAGCAGTTTATTTTAATCCTCCCAACGACTTCAGAGGCAGCTACTATTGTAACACCCACTTTACAGGCCAAGAAACTGAGGCTTAAAGAGAGGATCAGTTACACACAGCGCAAGAGCCAAGCTTTGGTGCTGTGAGGGCACAGAGGAGACCCACACCATTAGAAAGGCTGGGATTAAGTTTTGTGGGGAGAGGTGTGGACACCGTGCTTTGAAGAATGTGTAGGAGTTTGATGGGTAAATAGAGAGAAAAGGGTATCCCTGATAAGAAACCAGCATACGCAAGCCCAGAGGAGGGGAAGCCTGGATTCTTTACCCAGAAGTGGTTTGATTTTGCCGGAATGTAGGCTGGGGGCAGGGCATGATGGGAATCGCGTCCCGATAGGAGGTTGGAGGCCATGCTAGGATAAGGAATTTAGATTTTATATCTTTTTTTTTTTTTTTTAATACAGATCTTGCTTTGTCGCCCAGGGTGGAGCACAGTGACACAATCTCAGCTCATTGCAACCTCTGCCTCTCGGGTACAAGGGATTCTCATGTCCCAGCCTCCCAAGTAGCTGGAATTACAGGCACATGCCACCATGCCTGGCTAATTTTTATATTTTCAGTAGAGACAGAGTTTCGCCATGTTGGCCAGGCTGGTCTCAAACTCCTGGCCTCAAGTGATCCTCCCATCTCGGCCTCCCAAAGTGCTGGGATTATAGATGTGAGCCACCATACCCGGCCCAAGATTTTATATCTTAAGCAATGGGGAGCCCTTGAAATGTCTTGAGCAGGAGGTGGCATTTTTAGAACAGGACTAACATGGTCAGAGGTATGGGAGAGAGAGGATGACAGGGAGACTGGTGATGAAGGGGGCAGCTATGACAAAGGGTCCAATGAGAAATGGTGAGGCAAGTGGAGTGTGCGGAGGGGAGGGGGAAAATAGGCACACATGGGGAGCGTGCTGTTGCCACGAAAAGCTTTCCTGGGCATCAGTGGGTCCCTTATGTGTACTTGCGTATTGACTGAGCCATTCTGTACCGGGAGTGGGGGAGGGGAGGAGCAGAAGGCAGAGGCCGGGGCAAGTGGACCTCCCTGGCTTCTCACTCCACATTTAGCTCCCCTCACTATGGGGGTATGGTCAGCGGGGCATGACCCATTCTGTCGGACAACTCTGCAGAAGCAGGGAGCCCTGGGTCCCTGGGCTGCCTGCCACATTTCTGTGATGGGGATGACAGAGCTGGCCCAGCAGCCTGAGTCTTCCTGACCCCAGCCTTCCAGGTGAAGCGTGCCACCCTGCTCACCCCCCACTGCCAAGTTCACCGCCAGCTCAAGGCTCGCAGCCTCTGTGCGTCATGTCCAGCACAAATGCTCCCAGGCTGAAGCCAGTTCCCAGAGGCAAAGTCTGGATGTGGAAAATGCACCTGGCTGAGATCCTGCCACCTGCCACCAGGTGACCTGGGGCACATCCCCTGAGCCCCTCTGTGGCCTAAATCGGGGCATTGAACACAATTAGGTAGAACAGTACTGCACTCTCCAACCCTACCTGCCCCATCCTCTCTGGTCAACTTTGTTGGAGAATCTCAAGATGCTACAGAGACAAGCAAAGCAAGTCACTTTCCATACTCAAAGTCCCAGGCCATTTCAGCACTTCTGTCATTCTGTGGACTCAGCAATATCATACCCATTTTAGAGATGGCACAACTAGAATCCAGAGACTTTTCAAGACTGGCCAAGGGTCAGATATCTAGGTAGTTACCGAGACAGGACTTGAATGCCAATCTCTCAGCCAATTGAGCTGGCCCCTCAGGTGCCCTCCCTAATTGCTGCTGCCTCTCATGAGGTAGGGAGGCCAGGTCTGGGGTTGAGGGTGAGGCTGGCAGACATCTCTGAGGTCCAGGAGTCTGGAACTGAGGGACACAGACAGCACCACATCCCTTTGCAGTATCACACAATGAGAACATTCTCTTTGAAGCCTCCTGATAAGTGAAGGAGAAAGTCTCTGTTAGGTGCTAATGAATGTTTCACACCTCACCAAACCTCGCCAATCTCCCTTTTTCACTGAGGGCACATCTCAAGCCTTGGCAGGCCACAGTTTCCAGTTAGATTTAATAACCTTGCTTTGTTTTCACTGTGCTTATTTTAAGTCTTACTTTCTATTTATGGCAAGTGATATCGCTTTCCCATTTAAGGCAGTGATATAATGATTCTCTAAAATCAAGTGTTTAAGGGGTGGGGAAAGCAGATCTGGTATTCAAAAAAAAAAAAATAAGTAATACGTGCTGTGGCCATATGGCCCAGTGAGAATGCCTTATGTCTGCCCTAGGTCAAGCCCCTTGCTTAAAAGTGAAAAAGAATGCCGGGGGAAGAGTCCCTGCCCAAGGCACCCGGTGTGTCCCCGGTCGCACTCTGAGACGGGCATGCCTCGAAGACCTCTGGCCACTTAAGCCAAGGTGACTACCGGCCCCTCTGGGCAACACGTGCACGACCCATGTGCCAGTCCGCAAGGTCCCGTGGGCACCAAGACCTCGGGAGGGCGGAAGCGGCTGGGACACCTGGAGAGGCACCCGGAGACTTCCGCGAAGGAGGAGGGCGATGGAGCCGCGGCGCGCTCGGCAAGCAGCTGGGCACCCCGGGCGAGTGGGCAGGCGGGCGGACCCCACGCGGGTCACCTGCGGCCGGGCCGGGCGTGCTTGTGAACGGGCACGCAGACGTCAGCCTCCGAGGCCCGTGCAGCGTTCGGGGCAAGGTGCGCGCGCCCGGCCCCCAGCGGCCCCCAACGGCCCCCGCCCCAAGCGCCGGGACACGCGGAACCGCAGACGGCGACACCCGGGAGGCCACGCGCGTGGAGGGCGGGGCCGAGCCGCGGGACCCCCCTCCCATTGGCCGGGCGCCGGGGCGGGGCGGGGCGAGCGGGCTCGGGAGGGCAGACGCGGGCGCTGGGCGACGGGACGCGCCTCGCGCTGGGGCAGGTGAGCGACGCTCGCAGGGGCGCGGGAGGGCGCCGCTGGGACCGCCTTCGGGAGCCCGGGTTTCTGCCGCCTTTCCGAAGGCTCAGCGACCTCCTCGCCCTGCGGGTGGCAGAGGGGCGTCTGCCTGCAGGAGAGGGAAGGAGGGAGAAGCCAGGCCACGCGCAAAGTTCTCCTCCGCTGGGGACAGGAGGAGGTGGAGGAGGAGGAGGAGCCGGCTGGTGCTAACTTGGAGCTGCGAAACCTTGGGGCGGCGTTCAGAGCCCCCTCCCACACGCGCGCAGAGCAGAGCTCCCTGCTCCTCCTTCAGCCGCTGGCGTCGCCGCGCGCGGAGAGAAAGGAGCCGTCCCTCCGGCGCGGGGAGAGCTGCAGAGCCGCGGGCAGAGGAGGAGGCCGCGGCCGAGCCCGCCAGCCCGTTACCCCCCATCCGAGCGACCCTTTTCGGGGCAGGCGGAGAAGGTGGCATAGGCGACCAGGAGGGTTCGCCCACCCGGGACACGCACCTACAGTCACCTCCAAAGGACCCCCACTCCCCGAATCTCTAGGGGCTGCTCCTTCATCACCGGAGTCGCCCCTACCGCTCTCCCCCCGGCCCCGGAGCCCCAAGCGGGGACCCCCGGATCGGACATCCCCAAGCCTCCGGGCACCTGGCTCAGCAGGAGGCCCCCGGCTCGGGGCAGGGCAGGGCCGGCGGCGGCGAGCCGGAGCCCGCCCCCTGCCCGGGCCCCGCCGAGCCCTCAGAGCCCACCCATGGGGCACCGGCCCCTCGCGCCTCCTTGCCCGGCCGCGCCCAGCCCGGCGCCCCGAGCCGCGCAGGGGAGGATCCGGGCGCAGTGACCCAGGAGGCGCCACAGACTCTGGGAGGTTCGGCGGCGGCTGGAGCAGCAGGCGGCTCCCCGCAGCTCCCGGCGCTTCCAAGCAGCTCTTCTAGCCGAGCCAGAGGCCCGGCCCGCCATTCCCAGGTAGGAGACACCCCAACAGAGCTGGGGATCTGGGGGAGGTGGAGCAGCCGGGAAGAAAGGGTAGAGGCGTGGGGTAGGAAAGCTCAGTGGTTCCTTGCATGACCCAGAGGAAGTGAAATTGACTGAGCACCTCCTATGTGCCGGGATCGTCTGGCAACTTTACATTAACCTAGAGAAAATTAAATTCGTTGAGCACCTACTCTATGTGTCAGACTGGGTGCTAGACCCTTTACTTATCCCAGGAAAGAAAGATGCATTGAGCTTCTACTGTGTACTAGTTGTGGTACCAGAGGCTTTCCATTTAAGAAAGCTAGAGTAATAGCCCATTTAAATAGGAGGAAACTGAGGCTCAGGGAGGAAGAGTCAACTTCCTCAAACACTCCTGTCCCCCTTCTGGAGCTGGCTGCAGCGTACATACCTGGAGGTGGGGAAGGAAGATTAAGAAGCTCGTCCCTTATCCAGAGTTCTTGAGCTTTCTCTGGGTTGGTGCAGAGTGAATTTCCTGGATGATTCCCATCCCAGGAGGGGTTTCCTGTAATTTAGCTGTCTTGGAGGGCCCTGAAAGCAGCTCTGGAGGCCTCTCTGTGCCCTCCCCTCCCCATGTCCCCAGCACTGGGAGGATGACGAGGGGGATATTGTCCAAGAGCTCATGGAAGATGGGAAACCAGGCTGGGAGGGAGCAGCCAGGTCAGGAACCGGTGATTCAGGCCTCCGGTGGTGTCAGAGACAAGATGGGATCCCTGCAAGACCTGTGCCCGCATTCCAGTTCAGCCTCACCCGCTGCTCTAGGCAGCCCCATGACTGCCAAGAGAAAGTGCCACAAAGAAAAGAACCCAGCGTGTGTTCAGGTTTGCGGCGTGTTCAGGTTCAGCTGGGGCAGCCTCCAAACTTACTGGAAGCCCAGGGCTACACAGGGGGCTTGTTTCTTACCATTAACAAGGAGTAACCTGAGCGGCGGGAAGCCAAGTCATTTGCCCAGGGCTGCTGGGCTGGTGAGAGGCAGAGCTGGCCTGCCTGAAGCCAGATGCCTGCCTACCTTCTACCATCCGAGCTGCCAGATGGGGTTGGCTTTGATGGGGTTAGCTTTGCCAGGCCCCCGGACTCTCAAAGTGGCAGCTGGAGGCCAGTGACTGTGATGTATGTGTCCAAAGAGGCTGAGTGTGTGCTGATGGAGGAGGCATGGGAGGGTGGAGCAGAGGGAGTCCAGTGAAACAGGCTCTGGGCACACACCAGGAGGACACGTCCAGACATCCTGCTGCCTGTGCCCGTGTGACCCCTCCATCTTCCGGGCAGGCCCTGGGGGAGAGGCTCCAGGGAGAAGTGGCAAATCCAAGTGTGCACTTGCTGGGAGCTGGCTGGCGGGGTTGGGGGAGAATCCTGGGAGGTGCCCACCCCCTCCTTGCCCCACTGCTTGCAGGCGGCAGAGAAGGAGTGAGAATATAATATGCCTCAGGGGTCATCTCCCTGCCTGATGCCAGCTGAGGCTTCACTGAGTCAGACAGTGTTTTGAAAAAGACAAGTTTCGGTCCAGGGGTGGGTTTTCATAGAGTTAAGAGCCAGGCTTTGGAGCCAAAGCCTGGTTCTGATCCCAGCCCAGCCAGTCTGCTGTGTGAACTGGGGCAAGTAACTTAACCGCTCTGAGCGTCAATGTCCCCATCAGTCAAGTGGGCTGATGGATGTCTTCCTGGCTGTGGTTACCGTGCCCCCAGGATGGCACCTCCTCATCTCTGCTCTGGAAACTTTCTGCCTCCCATCTGTCCTCAGAATGGCCGTGTGGTGGGCTCAGAAGTCACAGTACGTGCATGTGGATGCCTGTGCTGCTAGGGGGTCTCTGTTGAATCTTCTGCCTCTCTGGGCCTCCCCTCTCTGATTCCCCACTTCCTCTCTCTCATTCTCTGCCTCCTCTCTCTGATTTCCTGAAATCCATTCAGTCGTTGATATTGGACTCTATGAATTCCCAAAGGGTCCTTCAAACGCAGCCCTGTCTGCTGCTCGCTGTGTGAGGTCAGCCTGGCTGAGGGTGGAGAAGGGAGAACAGGCTGCAGAGAAGAGCTGTGTCCACGAGGCTGCCCATGGTGCCACCTCTGGGGGAGGAGAGGGAAGAAAGATGTGGGGGTGGGAGGCGGAGCTCACAGAGGCACTGTCACCTGGCGTCCAGGTGTCCAAATGTCTCATACAACCCCACGTGTCTCAAGCCATGTGAAGAATCAGTCTTCTCTCAGTGATAAAAGCCACAGAGGATTTTTTTCCTCCTTTTTTGCCCTTCCTGATTCCCTGTCTCTTATTTCTGACTCCCTGCCTCCTCTCTCTGACTCCCTGTCTCCTCTCTCTGTCTCCTAGCCTCCTCTCTCTGACTCTCTGCCTCCTCTCTCTGACTCCCTGCCTCCTCTCTCTGTCTCCTAGCCTCCTCTCTCTGACCCCCTGAAGCCCATTCAGTCATTGCTGTTAGCTCGTCTGTACCAAGCTCTGGGCTGGAGGCGGGGCAGGGCAGTGTTGGAGACAAATACTATCCCTGGGAGCATCTGGCCCCTTTCCTGTCCTCTATCTAGACAGAAGTGACCACCAGCGAAGTCAGACTCTCTGCAGAGGGACTCGGAGGGCGTGTTCTTTCTCCCCATCTCTGCTGAAGGCCCAGGCTGGCTGAGACAGCCTGGCAGAGACTGAGAAGGGCTCCCTGCTGTGGTCTGGCAGCCCCCTCTCCACCCTTCTCTCTCTCATTTCCTGCCTCCCACACCGATGCCGTGGGTACCTCATCAGGGCTGCCCTGGTGGGGAGGCCGTCCTTAGCATGGCCCCTGGGCCAGTCAGGTGGTTGAGGCTGAGGAGAGAAGGTCCCAGAGGGGGGCTTTAGGCAAGCCCAAAGACAGAGCCATTTGCCATTTGATTAATGTACAGACCATTTATTGAGCTCCTGCTGTGTGCATGGCATGGCAGCTTTGTGGGATAAATTCAAAGACAGCTTTAGGCTGGAGCTGGGTGGAGGACTTGGGGCTCTTAGGCTTGAACTGTTGCCCAGGCTCCCCTATTAACGAAGTAGGCTAGTCACATAGCCTTCCGAGCGCGGCGCAGACCACCTGGGATCCAACGCCTCCTCTGCTGGTTGCCGGCTGTGTAACTGTAAGCAAGTAATGTAACCGCTCTGTGCCTCAGTTTCCTCATCTGTAAATTGGAGAAAAACACCACCTGCTTTCTGGGGTTACTGAAGGGAGAAATAGGTTAACATGCTTGCAGCACTTAGAACATTCTGGCATATTTTAGCTGCCACATAAATGCCAGCTACGATTATGTCTATACTTAGTGCGCGGCCTGGCACACTGCATGGGCTCAGGTGGCCGCAGTTGTTGTCCTTGTGGCTCCAGGCCTGGGGTCTGCCGCGTGCTGAGCTGGCTTATTGTGTGCGCCTCTTTGTGATTCATTCATCGAAGTCACATTGGCAGCTTAGAACTGACCGTGGTGGGAGCATTCACTCCATGGAAATGGGCAAATACCACCAACCAGGGCTTTTCACAAGGGTATTTTTGCGAGCCAGTTTCCTGCGCGGAGACTGGTAGCTGGGCAGGGTGAGCAGACCCAGATGTGTGCCGGGGACTCGCATGCAGGCGATCTCTCCACCCCGAGGGGCCACCTGAGACCTTGGCATCGTGATAACCGGAAAGGGATGGTGTTGGAAGGCGCCTTGGGCCAATGGACGAGGCACTCAAGGAAACCGACATGGGGCATCCCGGGGTGGGGAGCGAGGCTGGCATATACAGCGCTTTGTGTGAATATAAAAACAGTGCCTCTTCCTTGACACAGATGCCCCCACCTCTGGGATGCAGCCCCTACATGCCCACCCAGCCGGGTGCTTTGTGCAGTGCCCAACCTGCGCAACCTGTGGCAGCCTGCAGAGGGCCAAGGGGACTGATACTTCAGCAGGCCTGTGCCCGCCTGCAGCTCAGGGGCTGGAAAGCTCTCCTCTGCGGAGAGGAAGGACTCTTCCTGGGGTGGCGGGATGAGAAAGGCCTTTAGAGAACAGGTGGCACTTGAGCCAGACCCTGAAACGTAAGGGGAGGAGGGCGTTCTGCAGGGGGCGGCGTGAGCAAAGGAGCGGAGGTCGATCTCCGCAGAGCTCAGACGAACTACGGCAATGGCTCAGGGGATCTGGGGGGATTCTGGTGGGCACTGAGGTAGGAAAGGAGGGAGGGCTGGGCTGCAAAGGGCCCTTGGGGTAGACCTGGTGGAGCCTGTGGGTTTGTTTATGCAAGAGCTTGGACCCATGTCAGCCTCTTTCATGAGGTCCAGAGGCTCCCATAGACAGCTGTGGGTTTGCTCCGGAACCATGAACCCTTGGAGTTGTGAGGGATGCTTGAGCCGGCCATGGGTTACTTCCCATCCCACATCCTCTACTCCGAGCCTTGGGGTCTCCCAAAGACAAGTAGACACCTGGGGCCTGGGAGGCAAAAATCTCCAGGCAGGCCATGGAGCGGGCGGGAGACCACCAGATGCAGAGCACAGCTCTAAAGGTGGGTCCTCCCGGGATGGCTGCAGGAGCAACCCCAGGCATCGGACTCGGAGCATGCGGTGTGGACACAGCCTTCCCTTCTTCCCAGGAGGGCTGAATGGCCACAGAACCCCCTTCCCCATCCGGCCCCAGGTTTAAGAAATGCATGCTAGTGCCTTCCCCGTGTCTTACCCTGGAATAATCACAGGTTTCCAGAAAGCCAGGTGGATGAACCAGGGAAAGAACGGATTCTCGCAAGAGATACCGTTTTTGAGATTTCTCCATGTGCTGAGCCCTTTGCAACAGCTCCGTGAGTTGGGTTTATTTTGTAGATGAGAAAAGTGACTCCTAGAGAGGTTAAGCCACTTGCCCAAGATCAGTAGCAAGAGGCAAGGTGAGGATTCAAATCCTAGCAGTCTGGTGCTTGTACAAACGAAAGGGTGAATGAACGGATGGTGAGTGACTCAGTGGGTGAAGGAAGGAGTGCAGGCGAGGGCAGGAATGAGAGGGTAGAACTCCAAGGCCCCTTCGGACCTCGTCTGACATTTCCATTCTACAGACAGAAAACCCAGACCTAGACAGAGGCCCCAAGAGAGGGGGCCAAGTCCTCTAACAAGGGGTGGCGGGGCCAGGTCGGGGCCCCCTGAGGCCAAGTCCTCTAACAAGGGGTGGCGGGGCCAGCTCGGGGCCCCCTGATGACTACTTCCCTCGCTCTCTGTCGCAGCCCCGAGCCATGATGAAGACTTTGTCCAGCGGGAACTGCACGCTCAGTGTGCCCGCCAAGAACTCATACCGTATGGTGGTGCTGGGTGCCTCTCGGGTGGGCAAGAGCTCTATCGTGTCTCGCTTCCTCAATGGCCGCTTCGAGGACCAGTACACACCCACCATCGAGGACTTCCACCGCAAGGTGTACAACATTCGCGGTGACATGTACCAGCTCGACATCCTGGATACCTCCGGCAACCACCCCTTCCCTGCCATGCGCAGGCTCTCCATCCTCACAGGTGAGGCCCGCCGGTGCCGGGGCTGGGGTGGCAGGGCCGGGACATGGGTGTGGAGTGTGCTGCGTACTTGGCCGTTTGCATGGTACTTGCACAGCCATCATCTGAGACAGGTGTCATCCTTGCACAATGAGGCTCAGAGGGGTTTTGCCACTTGCTGGAACTAGTGATGGAGGCAGGGGCTCGAGTCCATTCTGTTAGACCCCAGATCGATTCCTCATGGCTGTCGGTGCCACCTTCCAGATCAGAGCTGACAGCAGCGTGCCCCAGGGATATTCCTTTCTAGGGAACAGAATGATGCCCAGCCTTCTGCTTCCCTCCTCTGGAGATGACCCAGCAGAGCTCCAAGGCCCATGGTCAGTCCACGGGGCTCAGGTCTCCCACACCCCAGGCCTTTGCCACCTCCTAGAGAGGTAAGGGCAGGACCCAGGGAGTAGTCACCAAAGGGAAGGGGCCTTGGTCATAGTCACAGTGATGGTGGCGGCAGCAGCTGACACTTAACAGGAGCAGTGGGCCTGGTCTTGTTCTTAGAGCCTGGCATGTGGTTATTTAACCCTCAGAAGTAAAAAGTGGATTCATTCAATTTTTACAAGTGGAGAAACTGAAGCCCAGAGAGGTTAAGGAACTTGGTCCAGTGGTCCCACAGCTCGTAAAGGCAGTCTGCTTCTGTACCCTAGGACAAAACCACACCACGGTCTCTCAGCTCTTCTGGGAGCAGTACAGAGGGACAGGGAGGTTAAACCCCGGACCCAGAGCCTGGATCTGAGTCCTAGTCCCCCTTCTCCCTGGTTTTATAACTCAAGGCAAGGGATTTTCTCTCTGTGCGCCTCAGCGTTCTCACCTATTAAATCAGCATGACATCACCCCTCATCCTAAGGGCAGGGTGAGAATTGAATGAGTGAATATACGTAAAGCGCTTGGTGGGCAGGTAGTAAGTGCGCAGTAAATCCCAGAGGACTTCTGTTGAGTCAGCATTTGTCGTGGGCCTGCTCTGAGCTACACAGTCATTTCCCAAGCCACGCCCCTCCTGTTGCTGGCCAGGGATGAGGGAAGGAGTGAGCAGGCAGCTCTCTAGGCATCATTAAGATAACCCCCAAACAGAGATAACTTCCACACCAAGAAACCCATGCCATGCCCCGCCCTGCCTCAGGCCTCCAGGCCAAGCCTGAGGCCGTGGGGGGCCGGGGAGCCCTCCTTGAGTGCTTCCTCTTCCAGGCTGGCTTTTTGGAGCATCTGACCCAGACAGAAGTCAAGCTCCCCACTCCACCCCAAGTTTTGGAGAAGGAGCATGTAGATAGGAGAGCCCTGGGTCAGCCTGTGTTCGAATCCCATCTGGGCCTCTTGGCTTGAATGTGTGACCAGAGGTACATGCATTCCGTCTCAGCCTCTCCAGCTGCCCAGTAGGCTTAACCTCAAACCCCATGGGGAGGCTGTGAGGACTGCCCGAGACAGCTGGCAGCTAAGCAGATGAGGCCAGATGCAGAGCAGGCATTGAGCAAGACAGGCAGGACCCCTGCTCTCCTGGAAATGACTTTTATTATTATCTGAACGCAGTCCACAGAAGTCCTGTGGCGGGAGCTTCCAGCACATGATGTGTATTGATTGCATGGGTGTCAACCCTCCCAGCCTTGGGGAGGGGACTGGGTACCCACTGCCATAAATAAGGCTAATGACAGAGGAAAGGAGGGGAGAGATGAAGAGAGGAAGCCCGTGCCTGTTTTCAGCATGAATTTTCAGTGACACAAGTAATACACAAACACACCCTCCTGCAAATGCTGCAGGTAAAGCTAATGCCACTTTGACCCACGTCCCCCATCTCAGGCTCCTGCCCCTGCCCTCGAGGTGGCCACCCTGGCCGTCTGGCGTGGAGCCTTCCGGGCCCCCGTGAAGACACTGCCTTTCCTATTTGTATCCCCACGATGGAGAATATGTGAGCCTGGCTCTTTTTCCCAGCGCATCTCATTCTGAGCACATCTGTCTGATGTTCGTTTTTTTCACTCACCAACCGGTGCCTCATTTTCCAACCTGGTGGAACCTCATTTTTCCAACCTCATTTTCCTGCCGCGCAGGAAATTCTGAAAGCCATTAATTCCACCGTGAGCTCTCCTTCCAGCTGCCAGCCGGGCCCATCTCTGATGCTTGGCATCGCAGACTCGCATTTGAATATGTCAAGGCCGTGAGTCCTCAGGGGCCCCAGATTAGCCTAACGGGATGGGGTTTGGCAGCGCAAGCAGGAAAAGTTGCCAAGCTGACGCTGCCTCGCAAGTGCCTTTCACTCCACCACTCCCATCCATTCAGCCTGCCTTGGTGAACACCGACCGTGTGCCAGGCCCCGAGGAGACCACGATGAGTGGGCGATGGGGCCCTCCTCTGTACCAGAGCTCACTGTTTGGAGCACACCCTTGGCCTGGACACCATTCTGAATGTGCCATGTGCCAGTAAGTGGGGGCAAATGGGGTGCTCTGGAGGTGCAGAGGAAGTAGGCAGCCGTTCTGCCAGAAGCTGGAACTGCTTGCTTCTCTTCTCGAGAACTTGGGCCAGTTGGCTAACTCTTCTGGGCCTCAGTTTCCTCATCTGTGAGACAGGGATCGTGTATCCACACCACAAGGCTATCAAGAGTTTAGGCAAAAGTGGCTGGACGCGGTGGCTCACGCCTGTAATCCCAGCACTTTGGGAGGCTGAGGCAGGTGTATCACCTAAAGTCAGGAGTTCGAGACCATCCTGGCCAACATGGTAAAACCCTGTGTCTACTAAAAAGGCAAAAAATTAGCCAGGCGTGGTGCTGGACACCTGTAATCCCAGCTACTCAGAAGGCTGAGGCAGGAGAATCACTTGAACCCAGGAGGCGGAGGTTGCGGTGAGCCGAGATCATGCCATTGCACTCTAGCCTGGGTAACAAGAGTGAAACTCTGTCTCAAGAAAACAAAACAAAAACAAAAGCAAAAATTAGCCAGGTTTGGTGGTGGAGCACCTGTAATCCCAGCCACTCAGGAGGCTGAGGCAGGAGAATCACTTAGATCCAGGAGGTGGAGGTTGCAATGAGCGGAGATCGCACCACTGCACTCCAGCCTGGGCAACAGAGCAAGACTCCATCTCAAAAAAAAAAAAAAGAAAAAAAAGAGTTTAAGTAAAAGGAGAAAAGTGCTTATTGAGAGCTGGAAATCGGGATGGAGGCACCCATCCGGACAGCCTCCCCACCGTCTTAGCATCTCCACAGCAGCCGCTGTTTGAGATTCCAAAGCCTGCCTGGAGTGACGCGATGAGTTATAGTGAGGCAGTGTGGGCCTCGGAGGCCGGTGCCCACTTTTTCATCCTATGATTCGAGAAGCTGAGAGCACCTACTGTGTACCAGGCACCAGCTAGGTGAGGACAGAATCAGGTAGAAGTCTCAGCCTAGCCACACAGAAGCTGTGTGATTTCGGGCAGGTCGCATACCCTTTCTGAGCCTCAGTTTGCTCACACGTAACACAAAGGTAACAAAATCTCCTTGACAGAGGCGTAGTGAGGAATCAAGAGAACAGTGGGCCTGGAGCATATACCTGATGCTTGGCTCCCAGCAGGCCCTCGTTTTCATCATCACTGACACCTGAGGCCACCGTCCATTCATGATCTTGTATAACTCTCAAAATAATCCTGCAAGGTCATATTTCATCTGCATGAAACAGACAGAGAATCTGAGATCACAGAGGTTTCAAGATCTGCAGCTAAGTGGATGAGGCCATATGCAAACCAGGCATTAAGCAAGACAGGCAGGACCCCTGCTCTCCTGGAAATGACTTTTATTATTATCTGAACACAGTTCACACAAGTCACTCTCACCCCTCTCCAGTCCTGCAAGGAAATGTGAAGTGCGTTAACTGTGTTTGAACCAAGCGGTACCACGTGTTAGCTATGCGACCTTGAACAGGGGCTTCAACCCCCTCGCCCTCAGTTTCCTGCCCTGGAAAACGGGGAGAATAATCGCAGGTACCCCACAGAGTCGCTGTGAAGGTTTTAAGTCAGTGACGCCGGGCCACTGCCTCAGGGCACCTGTGACTGCGGCTGTTGGGACTGATGTTCTGTGGCCAGAGGAGGGCAGGGGGCGCAGCCGGCCGGTGCACTCACTGCCTGGGCTCTCTCCCTGCAGGGGACGTCTTCATCCTGGTGTTCAGCCTGGATAACCGGGAGTCCTTCGATGAGGTCAAGCGCCTCCAGAAGCAGATCCTGGAGGTCAAGTCCTGCCTGAAGAACAAGACCAAGGAGGCGGCGGAGCTGCCCATGGTCATCTGTGGCAACAAGAACGACCACGGCGAGCTCTGCCGCCAGGTGCCCACCACCGAGGCCGAGCTGCTGGTGTCGGGCGACGAGAACTGCGCCTACTTCGAGGTGTCAGCCAAGAAGAACACCAACGTGGACGAGATGTTCTACGTGCTCTTCAGCATGGCCAAGCTGCCGCATGAGATGAGCCCCGCCCTGCACCGCAAGATCTCCGTGCAGTACGGTGACGCCTTCCACCCCAGGCCCTTCTGCATGCGCCGCATCAAGGAGGTAGACGCCTACGGCATGGTCTCGCCCTTCGCCCGCCGCCCCAGCGTCAACAGTGACCTCAAGTACATCAAGGCCAAGGTCCTTCGGGAAGGCCAGGCCCGCGAGAGGGACAAGTGCACCCTCCAGTGAGCAAGGGATGCTGGCGTGGGGCTTGGGCTGGGCCTGCAGGGAGGTGGCCCCAGATGCCCGCTGTGCGCATCCCCCACCGAGGCCCCGTAGCAGGCTTGTTCACAGACCTTGGCACCAGACTGGAGGCCCCCAGGCACTTGCCTCCGCATCGCCGTCTGCCTTCTCACAGCGTTCCCGAGTCTCCTCGTCCGCAGCTCCTCTATGGGAAGACACATCTCTGCAGCCTAAAGAGTGACGCAGAGACCCAAGTTACGCTTTCCTCTCCTGAGGTTGGAAGAAACGCTGATGCCAGAGGGGTGAGGATTGCTGCGTCAAATGGAACCTCCTGGGACAAGAACCAGGATGGAAAGGACACCGGGACCCAGATGGGAGAGGTCACCTCTCTCCTGGCGTAACATGCAGCTTGGTTTGGGTGGCAGCTGAGAGAACGTCTCTCTCAGCCCCGCGACTCCTGCCCTCTGCACCCCTCCAGCTACCCCTGACATTGAGCCAGTGGCAGCTGTATTTCAAGGGGGCGTGGCCACATCTAGACCACGCCCACCTCCTGACCGCGTTCTTCAGCCTCCCCTCCCCACCCCTCCTCTCCCAGGTCCCTTCCCCGCCCCCCCCCCCCCCCCCCCCCCCGCCGACAGTTGTGCTTTATTGTGGTTGCAGCTGTTTTCATGTCCTGTATAAGTAGAAATGGAAATCATTGTACTGTAAAAGCCTAGTGACCCCCTCCTTGGCCAGGCCCTCACCCAGTTCAGATCCACAGCCTCCACCAGGGACGCCTTCTCCTCCGCTCCCAAACAGGGTTCCCATGGCCTGTCTGCAGCTAGATATTGACCTCTGCCGTTGAGCTCCACAGTTTACAGATGATTGCACAAGCGTGGAGCAGACAGGCCACGGCTGCTTTTTTATGCTCCCATTTCACAGAGGATACCACCAGGCAAGGACACAGCCCGGTGGGGACATGATGAGCCCCAGGCCCCACTCCTGCCCCCCAGCAAGTTCAGGGTACAGCTCCACCTAGAACCAAGCTGTCGTCTACTGTTCTTGTTACTCAAGCATTTATTAAGCACCGACTGAGTGCTGGGTTCATTGTGTCCTAGGAAACCAAGAGGGTCCCCAGCCCTGGCCCCTGCCCACCCCTGCTGCCCCGCCACCCTCTGCACACACAGTGGTGAGGGGGCAGGGAGGAGCAGCTGGGACTCAGGACTGAGCCAGGAAGGGCTCCGACAGAGAAGCTCAGGGTGGGTCTTTTCCTTGTGCCCGGGATTGGGCTGTGCTGGGTACCACCATGTACTCAGGCATGGTGGGTTTCGAACCCATAAACCAAAGGCCCTTCTCATCAGCTCTTAACAAGCATATTTTGTATTTTAATCTCTCTAAATGTATTGAAGTTTTAGGGCCCTAAGGAACCCTAGTGAGCATCTAATGGGTCTTTCTGAGGTCCAGAGAGGATAAGTAACTTTCCCCAGGTCACACAGCAAGTCTGTGAGTGGCAGAAGCAAGCTAGCACTGGGCATTCAGTACATACCATGATGTGCCCCCTCTTTTGATGCTTGGCCCCTGGGGCCTTCAGGGCTTTGGAACATCTTGTCCTCAACCTTCTCCCTAGCTCAGTCTGTGAGGGACCCTGTAGATATTGTGTACACTATGCCCATGTATATACGAGTACACACAGATGAACCCAGATGTACACATGCCCTGGCCCCTGCCTGCGTACCTGCACCCGTACCCCAGCCTTGGCCCTGCCTGCGTCTGTGCCCAAAGCAGCAGCTCCGACCCTGCCTCTGTCCCCGCTCCGCCCCCTGCCCGAGCTCTCCGAGCAGGCCGGGCACCTCGGCTGCACAGGTGTGTGGCATACTCTCACCCAGGCACACCCCGCCGCCATGGATCTCCGTGTACACTATCAATAAAAGTGGGTTTGTTACAAAGCCATGTCCTTGCCCATGTGTATTTTGTGTATTTCCAAGAGGAGTGTGCCCCCCTCCCCAACCAAAGCTGGCCTTTCCCTCCCAAAATGCACCTGCGGGGTGCCCTGGCCCTGTGGGTCGGCACTGAGCCCACCTTCAAGTTTAAATTGGGGGAAGTGATGCCCTCCCTCAGCCCGGCCTCCTGGATCCTCCGGGTGTGTGCACAGAGGCGTCCGTGTCCACACTGGAGGGGCCTCCTGCGGACCGCTAGCTCTGGGAGGTTCTCTGCATCTGAGTTCTTCGTGGTTCCCGTACAGCAGCAATCTCACCCTCAGGGGACGTTTGGCAATGTCTGGAAACCGTTTCCAAGCCTGGGGCTGGGGGGGGCTACTCTCACCTCGTGGGCGGAGGCCAGGGACTCCGTTCAGTATCCTCCAATGGACAGGCCGTCCCTCCACCCCCACCCCACCGAGAATGATCTGGCCACAAATGCCGAGTGTGGGCAGGCTCCAGGGGCCAGGACATGCCCCCCGCCCGCCTGTGGTGGATTTGTTGGATCACATTCGAGATGGAACTGGGTACACACGGGCTCACAGCACGAGTCCTCCTGTGAAGTGAGACAGGATGCGGGTGGGGATGGCAAGGGGAGGCCAAGGGAGAAGGTCTGGGCCCTGAACAACCCTGAACATGCCCCCTGGCACTCAGACGCTTCCCTGGGCAGAGGGAAAGGAAGAGGCCAGCGAGTGCCCACTGTGTGTTTAGCTGGCACATCTCATACCATCCTGTCACCCAGCCCTGAGGGAAGCCACACACACTCACCCCATGTGAGCATTTAGGCTCAGAGAGCTCAATATCTTGTCCAAGATGGCATAGTTGGTGAAGCGGCAGATCAGAGCTTCAGCACCAGAGGCTCTCTGATCTCCGTCTGGGTGAGGAAAGATTTTGCATCCAGGAGGTGGAGACAGTCTGTTCTTTTGATCAGCAAATGCCACCAGCAAGATCAGGGAGCCAGGCCCTAAAGGAGGTCAAGAGGCAGGTAGTTCAAGGTCCACTGGGAGCCACATTGTCTCCCGGGAAGCACAGACATTCACCAAACAAAGAGAGCTGGGCTGTGCTGGAAGCAAGACCATGCAAGTCCGTGGTGTGGGAGCTGGATAAATCCCAATGTTCGCCTATCTAGAGGCCCCGCTCCCAGCCTCTGTCTACCTGGGGAGCTCAGCTCCCAGCCTCTGCCTGCCCGAGGCCCCACTCCCAGCCTCTGCTTACCTGGGAGCCACACTCCCAGCCTCTGTCTACCTGGGAGCTCAGTTCCTAACCTCTGCCCACCCAAGGACACATCTCCTAACCTCTGCCTACCTGGGACCCATCTCCCAGCTTCTGCTAATCTAGCAGCCCAGCTCCCCTCCGAGCTTTTGCCCACACCAGTCACAGAAGGTCAGTGTCGGGGCATGTCCCTCAGATACTCTCTAGATCTCGGTTTTCACACACACGAAGCCTGGAGGCGAGCACTCCCTTCCACATCGCCATGAGCGCTGCTCCGTAAGACGGGCACTGGTGCACGGGGCCAGGCTCCCACGGGGTCCAGCTGGAGCCCAGCCTGCCGCTGCCACTCCCTTTCTCCATGTGAGTCTGCAAATAAGTCTTGCCCCCTTCCGGGCCTCCTTTTCTTCATGAGTAAATGGGCGGCGGGAGGAAGGCATCTGGACCAGATACACACCAACAGCCTCTCGCAGCCTTGCTGGCCTCTGCTAGAAGGAATTAATATTCCTGTTGCATAATTCACAACATTCCTATCATCACCAAGCAGAACACGCTCACCCCAGCCCCAGCTCTAGCCCCACTCCCTGTTTCCCGCATCCCACATCCTTGGCCTGGAATGGGGTTGACAGCAACGGGCTGCTGCAGAGGAGACAGACAGATGTATTCTTAGCGCTGGGACAGAGGTTAGGATAAGACTGTAGGAAAATTCCCCTCGCGGCGAGGCCATTTAGAGCCGAGCCCAGGATAGCCAGCTAATCCCCCGACCCTAGGAAGGGAGCATGGGGAATATGATTTCAAAGAATTCCGTGCAGTGAACTCTAAGTACTTGCTTCGTTCTGCCTCCCTGAACCTGTCGCTTACTTGAAAGAAAAACTCCGGTCTGCGTCAAGGCCTGGTGGGGGCTGATGGGAGGCCTGCCAGGAACTCACAGTGAAGGCTGCCGGCGATGGGGGAAGGGAACGGGCTCGGACTTCTGCAAAGACCTCATTCTGTGCCAAGTGTGTGCTGGGCCTTTTACCTGCATCCTGTCATTGGATCCTCATGGCAGAGCTAGCTGGAATCCCTTTTTGGATAAGAGGGAATTGAGTTCAGAGAGGTAAGTCGCTTGTCCAAGGTTGCACAGCCAGGAGGAAGCAGAGTTGAGTGAGAAACCGTGTCTGACTCCAAAGTACATCTTTGTCTCCAGGGCTTTTATCACTGAGCCAGCTGAGGGGCTGCTCTCTAGCGGGAGAGTCCGGTGAGTTGGGGTGCAGTATCTGCATGTGGTTCAGAGAACTCAGAAAACAGGGTGCTCTTCCACTCACAGTAAAAAGCTGAGTTGCTATAACAAGAGAACTCAACTTTTTTTTCATAGAAAAGTCACTCTGCTCCACGTGGTCACTCAGGCACCCAGGGTTTCTTCCATCTTCAGGTTCCTCCATCTACAGGACCTTGTCGCCATCTGCAGGGTTGAAGCCACTGCCACATTCAGGTTCAGTCAAAGGGATGGGGAAGAGAGTGTGGAGGAGGTTCACCTGCTGTTTCCATGGACACGTCGCTTCCACTTTCTAGCATTGGCAAGAGCCAGCCGTGTGACCTACCTGTGGGAAGGCCAGAGAGATGCAGTCCTTTGCTAGGTGGCCCCATGCCCAGTGGTGACTTTTTTTTTTTTCTGAGATGAAGTTTTGCTCTTATTGTCCAGGCTGGAGTGCAATGGCACAATCTTGGCTCACTACAGCCTCTGCCTCCCGTGTTCAAGTGATTCTCCTGCCTCAGCCTCCCAAGTAGCTGGGAGTACAGGCATGCACCACCACATCCAGCTAATTTTTTGTATTTTTAGTAGAGACAGAGTTTCTTCATGTTGGTCAGGCTGGTCTCGAACTCCTGACCTCAGGTGATCCACCCACCTTGGCCTCCCAAAGTGCTGGGATGACAGGCGTGTGAGCCACCGTGCCTGGCCGCCCAGTGGTGACTCTTCACGGTGGAACAGAGGAGTGATTGGTTGGCCAGCTGGTTGTCTCCAAGCAGCCGGCCTCGGGATCCCATGGGCGGTCTGGCTTCAAACAATCTCCACTTAGCAGATGAAATCAGAAAGCAGGTCTAGGCTCCCAAGGCCGTTTTACATTGGCTCTGAGCACTTATTCCCATCCAACCCCTGTTCCCAGACGACAACTTGGACTATCCCATGATTTTTCTCATCTCTCAGAAAACAGAATATACCGTAGGCATTTTAAGTGGTAAGTACAGTCTCAACTCAAATTCCTTGGCCTGTGTGATTATCAGATTCCCAGTCTTCATTCACAAGAGTTTCCCTTGCTCCCCCAGCTGTGGTCTACTGCACATGAAAAGACTCAGGAAGAGAAGGGTGGACACTTCACTTTTCTTACTTGCCTTCTCTCTCTTTAGCTACTTCTGGTTTCTCTCTCCTCCATTCCTGGGAGGTGGGTTTGGGGGTGGAGGGAGAAGAGGCTGGGGAGCAGGAAGGCTCTTCCTTGCCTAGTTACTACGGAACTGTGGGACGATGGTGTCATGCTCCAAGTATGGCCAGTGTTTAACCACAGCATTGAAATCTCGGGGGCTATTTTGTAGATTGTTCAGAAATCGTCTGCCGTCACTAGGAGGCTGTTAGCTGCAGGGACCTCCCTGCAGATCTGTGCATCTCCAGCTTCCAGGTGTACCTCTTTCCCCACTCTCTTCCCCTCTCCCTTCGGCTGAACCTGAACGTGGCAGAGGCTTCAACCATGCAGATGGTTGAAGGTCCTAGAAACGGAGGAACCTGAAGATGGAAGAGACCTGGGTTGGTTGCTTAGTCCCTCTGCAGCCCCAAGGAATCTTTTGATTCTCTGTGCAGAGGCTTTTTGCCTCTTGGGATGTCCTATTGGACAGGGCCTGACGCACCCCCCATGTCAGCTTCCTCCTGTGGTCAGCCTACATCTGGCACCTATGAAACTCACATTCTCTGCCCCAATCAGCTGAGTGTAAGTTGAGCCAGGCGCCATGGCTCACGCTTGTAATCTCAGCACTTTGGGAGGATGAGGCGGGTGGTTCACAAGGTCGGGAGATCAAGACCATCCTGTCTGACACTGTGAAACCCCCTCTCTGCTAAAAATACAAAAAATTAGCCAGATGTGGTCCCAGCTCCTCAGGAGGCTGAGGCAGGAGAATCACTTGAACCCGAGAGGCAGAGGTTGCAGTGAGCCAAGATCGCACCACTGCACTCCAGCCTGGGTGACAGAGCGAGACTCCATCTCAAAAAAAAAAAAAAAACCAGAGTGTAAGTTGCTCTGAGTTTACTGGGATCTTTAGAATCTAACCCAGCCAGTCTGTCACACACAAGACTTATCAGGCAGAGAACAGTGGCCTACAGAGCCACTCAGCTCCGGGACACGTGTCCAGCTTTCTAGGGTTGAGCTAAGGGCATTCCCTTGCACAGCATATTACAGTGCTCAATGTCGAGTCTCTTTCCCAGGAAATCTTCTTCCTGCTGACTATTGTATATCTTTGACAAAAATGAGAAGTACAAGAGTCAAGGAGCTGGTTCTTGGCCAAATGCTTTGAAAATTTTGCTCTTGATTTGACACCTTACTTTGGAATCTGGGTTCAACCTTCTTAGAGTGTCAGCCCAAATGAAGAGGCCAGGACTAGGGTCATCCACCAGATAAAGGGGGACGGGGAATGGCACTCACAGAACCCCTGGTCATCTAGGAAGAGGAATACTGGTCAGGAAAGGGAGTTAGAGAGCTCGGGATGGAACCAACCCAGGTATCCCGGGCCCCTCAATAAAAG